CCCCGCTGTTGTATGTTTTTTGATGTTGCCATCTTTTTGTTATACGGGATTGAAAAGCTTCATCTCTATCTCAGCTTGCGGTGTTAGAAATAGGTCTTCAATAATGTATCCGTTGCATTGTGGATTGTCAGGCTCTATTTGTCGTAAGCCTTACCATCGCTATGCAATTCTTTTTACTGCTTTGAGGCTACTTTAGTCACTGTGTTGCAATTGTTATACAAGGTTACAGGTCAATTGGAAAGAACTGTTATGAGTTGCGCAGGCTTCTAAGAAGTTGACATAGAGAAAGTCAGAGCGTAACTTTTCGAAGGCAAGCATTCCATGACTTGTTGATATATTGAGGCTAGAGGTTTGAGCAACGACGTTCGCTCACGTGCCTGAAGTTGCTTGGGAGATGATCCATATTCGTTTCCGGTTTAGCTACAAACCTTCGCCAAAAGCCAAGTCTCAGCTTAGAGAAGGTGACAGGTCATAGCAAAACTTGACACGATCGGTCTCGAAAGGGTTTCGTATCAAGCAAGTCGGTAATCGTAATTAATAGAGATAGTTACACATTTGTACAGTAGAGCTGAAGAAATTTGATATCTCTTGCTTCACGTGTGTTGATTGAAGCACATGAATGCACGCAACAACAGGGATTAGACCTACAATAACGGGAATGACATGCACCTGTATTTTAGCTGCATCTATCCCTAGCAACACGTGTGTAAGTCACGGACGTTGATAGGGCAATTGGAGGTAGAAAAGAGACGATGGAAAACCGAGGCGCAAGGGATTCCAGCGGGACCCGGTGCTGTTGTGGACTCTTTTTTTCCACTGAAGGTTAGTTTCAACAGCTGTTTTGGACACCGAAGAGCCGCTGGAGAACCTGAGTTCGTACAAGGTACCTACCGCCGTGGGTTGGAGACCTTTGTTTGGGTTAGTTGGACCGGGAGGTGCCAGGTACCTTCCTTGCCTTGCTTGACGTTAGTGGGGTCTTCGCGTCAGGTCAGGTCCGGGCAGGTCCAGCCCAGTCGATGCAGTATTCGTAGTACAAGGTTCTATGCATAAGGTAGCCCAGCCTTTTTCTCGTTCAAACTTCTTGAAACTCCATGTAACTCAGTTTATCTCCAACTACTATACCTTACTATATTCATTGTACTCTGTACCACAGTCACGGCGATTGTCATCCGTCGCTCCACATCGTGTTGTGTCTCGCATCTCGACGAGTCCTTCATCGATTCTCATCCACTCTCCCTCGGGTCCGCCTCGACTCTGTTCCGCGTCTCCAGGCTTGTCCGCCCAATTCGCTCTCGACTAAACTTCATCATTATTGTGTCATACGATAGATAACACACATCGCATCGCATCACTCTTGATTGTTTCAGATCAGTTCTATCGGTTGTTTGTTTTGCACTACACAGCCTCTGGCTGGTCGCCTACCTCGAAATAATTGGCTCCGAACCTTCAATTACCCTCCACCCACAATGCGCTTCGGTCGAACCCTTCGCGAGTCTGTCTACCCGCCATGGAAGGACAAGTACATCGAGTACGCAAAGCTTAAGAGCTTGCTGAGGGAGGATGTTGCCGATGATGATAACCAGCCATGGACCGAGGAAGACGAGACTCGTTTCTGCGAGGAGATCTTCAACAACCAACTCGAAAAGGTTGCCCAATTCCAAGAGCAGCGCTTCAATGCTCTCAAGGAGCGGGTTGAGTCTGCTTTTGATAAGCTCAAGGAATTGGCCCCCGTCGAGTCATCAGAGGAGGATGGCGGCCCTTCCAAAGGCGACATCTCGGCTACACGCCTGCGCGCTCTCGAGTCCGAACTCGACGAGATCACTAATGAGGTCCGTGAGCTCAAGAAGTACAGCCAGATCAACTACACTGGTTTCCTCAAGATCATTAAGAAGCACGATCGCAAGCGAGGAGACCGCTACAAGGTCCGCCCCATGATGCAGTTGAGCCTGTCTCAGCGACCTTTCAACTCCGAGACTGGCTACTCTCCCCTCCTCAACAAGCTCTCCATTATGTACTTTGCTATCCGGCAACAACTGGAGGAGAACGGAGAGCAGCTTCCACCCCTGGACCTGGAGTCCCAAGGCGAGACGCATAACGGCGAGCGCTATACAGCTCACAAGTGTAAGTAAACCCAGGTCACATAACATGCAGTCTCGGCAGTCCAATTACTAACTCAACTATAGTCTGGGTTCACCCCGACAACTTACTCGAGGTCAAGACAGTTATTCTTCGACATTTACCGGCCCTCGTCTACAGCGAACAATCTGCCAAGGAGCTTGATGGCAGTGATTCGCCTTCCATCACTTCTCTCTACTTTGATAATAAGAAGTTTGAGCTTTATGGCGAAAAGGTTGACCGCAAGTCTGAAGCAACCTCGTTGCGCCTTCGCTGGTACGGACAGCTGGCCACCCGACCCGAGATTTTTGTCGAGGAGAAGACCGTCGACGATAAGGGCAGTCAGGACTTGAAGTTCTCCATCAAAGACAAATATGTCAAGTCGTTTGTTGACGGCGAATACAAAACCGAAAAGGCTGTTCAAAAGCTGAAGCGACAGAATTTTACCCCCGAAAAGATCCAAGAGTACGAACAGACGGTTAGCACCATCCAGAAGTACCTTAAGGAGAAGAACCTTAGCCCAGTTCTCAGAGCCAACTACGTCCGAACGGCCTTCCAGAAGCCTGCTGATGATCGAATTCGTATTGCTATCGATACCAACGTGGCATTCATCCGGGAAGATACGCTTGATCGTAGCCGCCCCTGCCGTGACCCGAACGAGTGGCACCGCCTGGATATTGACGAGAGCGCGATGACCTATCCTTTCAAGAACATCAACCAGAGTGAGGTCAACCGTTTCCCATATGCCCTTCTTGAGATCAAGTTGAAGGAGGACGGCATGCGAAAGCGACCTACATGGATCGAGGACTTGATGGCATCTCACTTGGTTCACCCTACACCACGCTTCTCCAAGTTTGTGCATGGCATTGCGGTTCTCTTCGAGGACTACGTTAACAGCTTGCCCTTCTGGCTCAGCGATCTTGAATCTGATATCCGAAAAGACCCTCAGAAGACTTTTGAGGAAGAGGAGCAGCGACGTGCCCAGCGACATGAGGATGTCATGGCTGTAGGCAGTCTCATCGGAGCTGGAGCAAAGTCAGGATCCTACAAGCCTACACAAAGCTCGCCAGTAAGCAAGTCGTATTTGGCAGACCGCATGTCTAGGGACTCGATTGCCCAAACACTTAACAGGCAGGCATCCGGGCCTGCGAATGGAGAAGAGACTGGAGAGGGTAGCGGCCAACGTCAGGAGGAGCAGGAAAGGTCATACGGGACTCTGTCTTCTGTTATCCCTGGCTTCTCGTTATCCAAGTACTCCCGGGCTAAGCGAGCCTCTCAACAACCACTCCCAGAAGGCGTGGTAGCACCTACAGAATGGATCAAGAATATGGGTGAGCTCAAGGTCGAACCCAAGGTTTGGCTTGCCAATGAGCGAACGTTCCTTAAGTGGCAGCACATTTGTATCCTTCAGGGTGGTCTGGCTGTTGGTCTGTACACCGCTGCTGGAGAAAACACAATTGCTTCTATTATTGGGCTCTTGTTTGTTCTCATTGCTATATTCGCTGGCGGTTGGGGCTATGCTATGCTGAGAATCCGACGAACCATGATTGTGGAGCGAAGCGGTAAGGATTTCGACAACATGATCGGACCCATGATTATTAGCGCCTCATTAATGATTGTCCTTATTCTCAACTTCTTCTTTGCGGTAAGTTCTGCTCATCCTGTTGTGGTCAACTTGAACTAATGGTATTTGGTAGTGGCGAGAGGCTTATGGACGATTCAATGATGGTAAGCATGGTGCGGGAGAGTTTCTGTCGGAAGAACTCAAGTGAGTTGGAGAGACGGGTTGAATAAAAGAGTTGTGTAGTAGTACGGGCGTTGGATGATGCATACCCTTTGGTGTTTTGCATAATTAGTTAAAGAGAGGATTGTCTATTAAACAGTTTGAATACCCGTGCCATTGTTCTTGATCATGACAATGCCTTCGAAAAGAACTAGTTAAAGATATGCACGAATAAAGTGATATATGTAATGCAATGTGCCTTGCTTACTGCATGCATGTCTTGTCCTGTCTTGTCTAGGTACAGTAGTTAGTGGTGGTGTCTTCGCGTCCCTCGGCTGTGCATTTGATTAAACACCTTCCGTTAAAGTCAATTTCGATAGATAGTTTCTACAGCGACTTTGTTGTCCAACTTCCCCTCAAACAATTGACTTTTACTAGCCATCGCCTTTGTGTTACTTGTATTACCTGTACAGCTGAATACTTGATATCATCCCTGCTTGTCTCGACCAACCTCCTCAGTACTCGTACTCCACGTATCAAGCTTCGCAAATCTACCGTCCAGCTCTCGTCGCGCCACTAAAAATAAAGGGAAATACCTGGGCGTGGGGTCGGGTCCCCCTGTTGTTGCGTTGCGCAAACGCATTGCCTCAAACGAGGGCGTTCTAACTATTTTTCCATTTTCCACAAAGACCTTCTTCTTTCTTCTCTTACTTGCGTCCTTTTCTCTCTTTGTTTCGCGTTCCAATAGTGGGGGGAATCATCTTCAATCATGTGCAACGTCAAACTCGATTGCTAACAATAACTAAACCTTGTCCATATCTTTTATTCTCATTTGCCGACTCTCTCCATCGTCAGTCAGTCAGGCTGGACTGTCCCTGTTATCTTTAAAGTCTAGCCCGGTCCGCGCGCCAGCCGGCCGTCGCGAACACGACTTTGCGACACCAGGCGATTCAACTTCCCTCTAGACCCTCATTCTAGCTTCTGCATCTTTTCTGACAATTCAACTCTTGTCGTCAATATCGATCGTCGCGTTAGACTCGCGCTGCGCCTGATGACATCATGACGGATCAGGGCGAAAAGAAGGGTATCTGGAGCATGCTCCGAAGAGCTAGTTCTAGGAGACATTCATCCAAACCTCCGGTGCGTACAGACTACAGAGCAACTGCAGTGGCGTCTGCATCTTCTCGGAGCTCGGCCTGTGCTGTTAGCTCAACGAAATCGTCTCCGTTCAACAAAGCTTGAGCTCTGTCTAGCTGCGTCGCGTATGGAGCTATAGCTATAGCTGCAGATACAGCTCCGATTTCGCTCATTCACATATTTGACATATTACTAACTCTTACCTTGCCCACTTTAGCCCAAGGACCTCGAACCTAGAGAGTATCACCGTCCTCGCCGTGCCAGTAATGGTGACGCAGGCCAATCGCCATACCGCCAAAGTATTGGTTCGGCTCCCGATCTTACATACGATAATAACCGCCCCACGACCGCCGAAGACGAGTCTTCCAACATGCGCCGCAGGCAGAAAAGAGGGCAACCCGAACCCGAGCCCGAGCCCCAGTCTTCCCCAATAAGGTCCAAATCCTCTGGTTTTCTGAATAAGGCTCGCATAACCAACGGACGGCCAGTTCGCCCTCGAGAACCCCCAACAGTAACATGGCCCCCTTATGGCATCTCTATCGACGATGAATTGCCTCAGCAGCATGCACTTGAGATTGTTGCCCGTGGTGCTCCTTCACACAAAGGTCACAGGCGGCCTGTGGCGCATCAGCCCGATGAGTTCTACTCTCTTCATACGACTTCGAGCGGTAACCGAGCTGATGGCAAGGCCTCTGACCACACCGATGCTGCGAACCTACACGATTCTATGACCCAGCTCATGACTTTGCGCCTGCTAGGGCACGGTTACGCAGAAAAGCCATGGGAGACGCTCGAACAGCCCAGCTATGCTTTTCACTTTGGTCATTTACCAGGAACCATCACGCTCAATGAGTGGGCCTCCATGTCCAGCGTTCTTCCACCCACCATGGCCCTCCGTGACGCTGGTGTTCTGCCCCGGGTGATGAGTCTGGAGAGTATTTTCGAACGCTTGCAGGAACTACGGCATGGCATTGAGGATGATGACGAGTCTTTACTTTATCGTATTCTATATAAGCGCATTCTGAGGGACCCCGATAAGTTTCTCAACCCTCATCGAACTCTCGACAAGCAGATCACCGATCTAATTCTTGTTCTTTCACGACCGGACTGGATTGATTTTAGCAACCCGCGAAATCAAGTTGCTACCCGTTTCATCTTTGAAAGGGGTCCAGAGAACCAGGAGCAGTTCCATAAATTCTTCCTTCAGCTTCTTCTCAGTCTTGAGCTTGAGTTGCGCATTCAGTCATATCAACATAGTGATTGGGCCAAGGAGAAGCTGACTTCACAAATACCACCTTCCATCCAGTGGAATTTGGCTCTAGCCAGACGTTGGCAGGATTTCGTACGCGTTGACGACGTTGGCAAGACGCCTGAAGAAAGTGAGTATCATTCTGGCTCTGTCTTCAATGCGGTCACTAACAACCAGTTCAGTTCTCTTACGATATAAACTGAAGAAGCGCCAAATCAGAATGTTGAGGCGCTTTGCCCAAATGATGAGGTGGCCCAACCTGACCGAGACCCTTGATAATATGAAGCAGAAGGATTCGGAATTGGCCTTGGATGAGGTCAGCTCCGACGCCTTTGCCTTCTTCAGTGGCCTTGTGCTGCCTGGTGTAAGTTCACCTATCCTATTACATAAAAGTGAAAATGGTAACTGACTGGATATAGCATTCGTTCCCATTTCTGATAATGAACACTCTTCTTGACCTCGACCCTGACAGTGCAACTGATAATCTCGCACTTCTCTCACATATGCATCCTCACTGCGGTTTTCAATACAAAAACAGCTACACGTATTGGTCAGCCAGTTCGATTGTGGGCAAAGTCCTGGCACCTACATGCCATGCTGTTGGAGGTTGGATCGGCCCAGCACGACCAACAACGGATCTTGAGCCAACTCAGATCGCACGGATTCGAAGTCGAAAACCAAAGCAACGAATGACCCCTGAGGATGTTGAGTCGATGGCAGAACGTTCTGATCCGCTTGGCCCTGCTGCTGAGACTTATCCAGTAGATGATTATCAACCAGTTACTCCGACCAGCGGCCCCGAAGATGCTGTCGATACCGTACGGGTAGAGTTGTTGAGTCTGAAGCCAGCGGAGCGACCCGAAGATTCACCTCCGTCCACAAAGGTTTCGAAACTGTTTGACGCAACAGTACAATTCGCCATTAATGGAGTATCATGGCCACTCAAGCTCATGTACGATGTCTCATTCGTGGCGGCGTGGCCATGTTCCGAAGGACCACATCCACTCTTCTTCGACTATGTCTATAAATCAATTCGTGTTGATTACATCACTGGAGTGCGAGACTGGGGAAATCTGTATGGAGGTCCGCAATTGCATAGTGTGCGATCAAGCCCTGGACCAGGCATGATGCAAGGCCCATACAAGGACATGTTCAGTCAGAGCTTCAATCACCATCACGCTCCTCTGAATGGGTTCCTTCAGCCCGGTGGTCCCGAGGAGGAAGATGATGAAAACGACGACGAGAAGGTCCTTGTGGTGGAAGCGTTCGGTGTACGCGATAACGAGGTCTTGGCACGAGCCTGGTGCTCACACTGGGGTCTCAGTGCCGTGGTGGCCGATGTTGAAAGAACATGGTGAGTTTACTATGCGGCAGAAGTACATTGGGACAGTTGCTAACGAGAGATGCAGCATGGCATGTGCCATTCGTGAAGCGTACGCGGCAACGCTGACAGTGGTGATCCTGGTGAAGGGTCAGGAGTATCCCAATAATGAGTGATGAATTTATGAGTTATGTATATTTACTTGGTCCCACGTCTAGCGATAGGCTGTGGGATGGATTGGCGAAAGTGATTCAGGCATGGTCAAGGGAGTTTGTGTTTTGGACCAGGGAAAGCAGCCGGTGAGGGAAGCGGATGGAATTGGATGAGAGCGGTGTGCTGCAAATAATAGATAGACGTTGAGTGAGGGCTGAAGGTGGTTGTAGAAAAGGTTCCTGAGCGTACTGCTCGGGCTCGGCATAGAGGTTTCCATACACCTAGGATGAATACTGTCTCATGTGATATCTATCACTGCATATGCATGTTAGTTGGATGGGTATCAGCTCATGGGTTGTATGTACTGTAAGATAATAATAGCATTGAGGGAGGAATACCACATTACAGTAGGATACAGTATCATGATTGCAGTTTACTGTATGTACGCAGTGGCATTCATGATTCACCGTACCACAAGAAGAGGCCAAGCAAGTCACAAGATCTTGGTGAACGCTGATCAAGCTCGGGATTGGCCAATTGGATAGCATGCACATGTATGCATGTACTGTACAGTACATGTAAGAGACAGGCATCGCGGATGAGCCGGATCTGGAATCCCGGATGTCTGGGACAGTTTCAGCATCCCGAGCAAGGTTGTCTGCTGTGCTGCAACGTTGGCTGCTCTGTTCTACTGTAATAAACCGACCCCCCTCGGGATAAATTGAGAAGAGGTCATCGGACACTAAAACTTTTCTTTGTTTCTCGTGTTGTGTTACAGTCCTGAGGGGACTCCGCTGTCGGCCGAGAGGCAGGGGATGATGAAGATAACGCCACATCATATCATTGAATGCAGTGAGTGCCCAGGTAGGCAGCGGTGTGTGTGGTTGAGTTTGGATTCGATGCTTGAGATGAGACCAGACGAGGGAGGATGTGGAGAAGAGATGCCGATCAAGGTGAGCTGTAAGGGAAGTCGATAACTGACAAAGAGTTGAATTGAATTGAGTTTGGTACCAATGGCTAGGCAGTCATTTAAGGAATGAGGAAAGAGATATTTGTTGAGTTGAGTAACGTCAACAGCCCGGTCAAGATGGGGAAGATGAATTCCGATATTCGGGGACATGAGATTGACAGGTTATTTTCCTATTCGGCTTACAAGAGCAGCTCTACTGCATCATCAAAAGAAAATACATATATTGATCAATTGATCATCAGACAGAAACACCCGATTGTTGTTCTGCCAAGTTAATTCGTAGATACACCCCTTGGCTTGTTCATCATGAGTTCTCAAAAGCAGATCATGGAATCTCTTCCACTAGCTATAGCTTCTGGTGGCTTGACTTGAGGTTCTCCACCCTCCCAGGCAACAGCATTTCCTCTTTTTGTTACTATCAGACGAGACAGAAAACGGAAAGGCCGTTTGATTTGGGGAAGCTATTCCAGGGCCCCGAGGGTTTCTAGTGGAGGAGAGAAGCATGAGGAAGAGTCTAGTCCAGTCTTCTGTGAGATACTGTACCTATTCATGGATGGTTGAACCGCCACTGCAGTAGAGAAGAGGAGACCTAATGAATTGATGCACTGCAGATGCAGCTACAGTTGCATTGCATTTGTCTATTCAGCTTCTAGAGCTCTTGGAAGTGCCATATTCCTTTCGCCTCCCCCACCCTGTAGTGGGATTTTACTGCAGTTAGTGGGGGGTCTCCCCTGTCCCCCAGTTCATCCCCAGGATTATCATTGTCAAAGCTCCATTGTTTGCCATGATGGAGCTTCCTCTCTCCCATCATGACTGGCCGTACCTCGACTGTTTCTCTCTCACGATCGGGAACAGTCCATAATAAAAAAGTGTCCACGAGCTTATTTCTGAAAGGGTTCCACATGTCAATTGCTGGGTATCAGTAGTCTGATAGATAAATAGATATACCGTAAATACTACATATATATGAGCGAGCTCCTCGTCTTCCTGCTCGTTAATCATCGTTGAAAACAAAGTTACAAAGCATTACACCCCAATAGCTAAGACATTCAACGCTTAGCTGACCACTCAATTACTATCTTGGGCTTCTTCCCACTCACACACACCCTCTTACTGTACCTCAAAGTTCCAGACTCTATTCTATTCTTGGGATTGCCTTTGCTTTTTTACGCGGGGTGACGCCTCATCATTGCCTTGCCTCGCCTCGCCTCACACCCGACCTCTTCCCCCTCATCGTCTTCCCCATTTAGGATTGTGTTTGACGCAAGCCTGAGCTTATCCTTGGGGCAATAAAGCACAACCGTCACTGTTTCGCCCAGACTTGATCCTGATCCTTCTATTATGTATAGCAACCACAAACCCATCAAAGTCATGGAGTGAGTCCTCTCATCCTCTCAGCTTTCTATCACATCACGATCTTGGCTGACTAGTTCTTCTTTCACAATGGATAGACCTCCTCAAGTTTTGGTATGCAACCATCAAGCTCCCCCCAACCGTTGGTGGTGGCTGCGGTAGCCGCAAGTCAACATCATGAACTCTACTAACTTCTCTTGCCCAGGATCACTACATCGGTGTCGATGTCGGTACTGGTTCTGCTCGAGCCTGCATTATTGATGAGACTGGAGACATCAAGGCTTTAGCTTCGGAGAACATCAAGCTATGGCAGCCTGAGAATGGCTACTACGTACGTTGTACCTGCAGTCCTCCAAACACAATTCCCTCTGACTCCCGCCCAGGAACAATCTACTACAGACATCTGGCAGTGCATCTGCGAATGTGTCCGCCGTGTGGTCAGCGAGTCCACTGTCAACCCCTCCAGCATCAAGGGAATTGGCTTCGATGCCACCTGCTCTCTTGCTGTCTTCACTCACGATACCGACGAGCCCCTCCCTGTTACCGGTCCTGATTTCACAAACGATGGCAACGATCGTAATGTCATCTTGTGGCTTGACCATAGACCTGTCGAAGAGACCGAGAAGATCAACAACACCAACCACAAGCTCCTCAAGTACGTTGGTGGAAAGATGAGCATCGAGATGGAGATGCCCAAAGTTCTTTGGCTCAAGAACCACATGCCTCCAGAGCTGTTCGAGCGAGCAAAGTTCTACGACCTTGCAGATGCTCTCACCCACTTGGCTACTGGTAACGAGACTCGCAGCTACTGCAGTGTTGTTTGCAAGCAGGGTTACGTTCCTGTTGGCGTCGACGGCAGTGTCAAGGGTTGGCAAGAGGACTTCTACCACGACATTGGTCTAGGTGACCTGACCAAAGATGATTTCAAGCAGATGGGTGGTGTCAACGGGGTGGTGAGCCTTTTCATACTTTCTCCCTCTGGTTCTAACGTACCGTTCTTCGGTACATCAAGGCTAACCATGGCTTTCACAGAACGGAACATATGTCAGTGCAGGTGAGCCCGTGGGCACCCTGAGTCGATTAGCCGCCAACCAACTCGGCCTCCCTATGGGCATCCCCGTGGGAAGCGGCGTCATTGACGCATACGCAGGCTGGATTGGAACCGTAGGCGCTAAGGTCGACCTTGGTGACGACGAGCTCAACGCTGCTGTACCACACAATGATCTCGCCCAAGCTTTCACTCGTCTGGCTGCCGTCGCCGGAACCTCGACATGCCACTTGGCTCTGTCCAGAGAACCCGTTTTTGTTCCTGGTGTTTGGGGTCCATACCGTGATGTTCTCCTTCCCGAGTTCTGGATGGCTGAGGGTGGTCAATCTGCAACTGGAGAGCTTCTACGACACATGCTTGACATCCACCCCGCTTACAATGAGACATGCGCCCTGGCCAAGGCTGAGGACAAGCACATCTACGACTTCCTCAACGCTCACCTTGAACTCATGAAGGAGAAGCATAGTGCTCCTTCAATCTCGTACTTGGGACGCCATCACTTCTTCTACGGCGACCTGTGGGGCAATCGCTCACCCATCGCTGATCCCAAGATGAAGGGTAGCATGATTGGCTTGGATAGCGACAAGAGCACCGACAATATGGCTCTATGGTACTATGCCACAATGGAGTTCATCGCCATGCAGACACGACAAATCGTCGAGCAGATGAACAACGCCGGCCATGAGATCTCTTCCATCTTCATGTCTGGTTCTCAATGCCAGAACCCCGTCCTCATGAACCTCCTGGCCACTGCCTGCGGCATGCCTGTCTTGATCCCACGATACGTCAACGCTGCTGTCGTTCACGGAGCTGCCATGCTTGGCGCAAAGGCAGCCAGCCACAGCAAGGAGGACGGAAGTGAGCCCGAGTCTCTCTGGAGCATCATGGATCGCATGAGCAAGCGAGGTCGACTGGTCGATCCCAGCACTGATGAGGATGAGAAGGCGCTTCTGGATGCCAAGTACGAGGTCTTCTTGGACATGTGCAAGACCCAGCAAGACTACCGAAACAAGATTGATAAGGCTACCTCCAAGAAGGCCCGTATGAACGGTACCGTTAATGGCGCTGTCAACGGCGCTTAGAGGCTGAGCTTATATTAAACGTGAATGGTTATGAGGTTGATGAGCGCTTGGTTCAGGGATTTGGCGTTGGAATTCGGTATAAAGGCCAGTAATGAATGATTGATCACACGCGTGTGAATGGGCCGACACGACGTAACTAGGTACTAAAATAACGAACAAATTAGAGTAATTGAAATCTTTCTTTGATGATTCCTATGATCCAGTATCTTAAAGCTTAAAGTTCCTTGTTGGCTCAAATCTACAGTTGAGCTCTCCTTGACATTGACACTGCGATTTGTTTAACCTAGCGTTGCCTAGGAGCATATTCTCACTCTGATTGGCCAAAGCTTCACCTCCAAGCATCCATGAATCCTGACCGTGGCCCACTCCTAAATTCGTAGAAACAAACGCGCGCCGACTTTGTCTGTTGTTGACCAGGCATTTTCTTTTTTTTATATTTCCTCACCCACGCATCAAGACAGCTCGTCTGTCATCAATACTCCATCGCCTCATCCATTGACCTGAGGAACCTCCATCCTTCAATTTCCCCAGGACCTTTCGATAATTGAGGCACCATGTCTCTCTTTGGACAGTCTGCCAACACGGGCGGCAGCTCGCTGTTTGGAGGCAATACCGGTGGCACGACAGGCGGAGGACTGTTTGGGCAGTCAACAACACAAAACCAGCAGAGCGGAACCACTGGCGGTGGTTTGTTCGGCCAGCCAGCGCAGAACCAACAGCAACAACAGACTGGCACGACGGGAGGAGGCTTGTTTGGAGGACTTGGCGCAAATAAGCCCGCTACGACCGGCGGTGGTTTGTTCGGGCAGCCGCAACAACAGCAGCAGCAACAGCAACCACAGACGGGTACTACGGGTGGTGGCCTCTTTGGCCAGTCGACTACAACACAGCAGCCAAGCACGACCACGGGCACTGGACTCTTCGGACAGCAGGCGCAACCTCAGCAAACTGGAAATACAGGTGGCGGTCTGTTTGGCAACCAGCAGCAGCAACAGCAACAGCAACAGCAGAAACCATCACTGTTTGGCTCCTCTCTAGCGCAACCCGCAGCTGCCGCGAAGCCATCACTCTTCGGCCAACCGCAGCAGCAGCAACCCCAACCCCAACAGAACGCGCCTTCCATGCTGGGTGGGAGCACTTTCGGCGGAAGCACACTAGGTGGAAGCCTTTTTGCTAGTCAGGCCCCTAATGGACAACCTCAAGCGCAATCACAGCCAGCGGGCGCCTACTTCGACAGTCTCTTTGCTAAAAGCCAGAAAGCTGATGGCAAAGCCAACATGGAGGATCTCCCTAGTCTCGAGCTCGGTTTGGGCGATCTGCGACATCGATTGAGAAAACTTCAGTCCAAGCCTAGCGACAAACCTCTCGGCGGCAAAGCTCACTACCTTCTCGCAGCCTCTGGTGTCGACCCTGGTGTTGCTGCCAAGGACCTCGGTCTTCTCGATATTCAAGCCGGCCGTACTGAGCGAGCTAACCATGGCTACGCCCCCAGCGAACTCGATGTCGAAACATATCTCTCGAACCTCCAGACCAAGACGACTCTTAGCATGATTGCCGACGGAATCGATCGATCAGTTCGCGACTTTGATAACTTCCTCGAAGACAATGTTACAATGGAGTGGGAGGCGCAACGAAAGCGCATCTACCAGCACTTTGGAATCACCCCCCGTGATGATGTTGCTACCTCCGGACGCGAATCTCAGAGTGCTTTCGGTCGCTCCAGGCGTAAGAGCCAGGCGCCAGCTGCCAAGTCTGGCAGGGCCAGTGTTCTCGGCAGGTCGACGCTCCAGAAATCTGTTATCGGAACACCCAGCCGAATTGGAGCGCATCAGACTGATTTCTCGGATGTCGATCGTTCTTCCGAGTCTGGAGGTCTTGACGGACGTGTCTCATCTGATGACAGGGTACTTCGTGAGCGACAGGGACGTCTTTCGGAGAAGATTCGCAACCTCAACACTGCTCGTCTGCTCAAGCGACCTTATCCCATCCTCTCTGAGCTCGCGACTGTCGAGCAAAAGTCCCATGATCCTCATGCGCCCCACGTCGTGGAAGCATACCTGGCCGTCATGGAGATCGTGGGCGAGAATCCTGATGCCGAGACAACCCTCAACAACGCGACAGCCAAGGAGCGCGAATTTGCAGATATGTATCTGAACGATAACCCCAACTCCTCCAAGTCAGTTGAGATGCGAAAGCGCATCCTTACTGGCGCAAACAGTTTCTTGGAGAAGCAGTTCTTGCGTGAAGTCGAGTCACTTATTGCCAAGCACCCTCACGAGGCGAAGCTTGGTGGTCTACCTGATATCGTTAGCAAGGTCAAGGCCTACATCCGGTTGCGGTCTGCACGAAAAGACTTGGTCCCCGACAACACTGAACTTCAGCAAGTTCAGGGTGAGTACGTGTGGGCCATTGTCTTCTACCTGCTCCGCTCTGGACACGTGAGCGAAGCTGCCAAGTATGTCAACGACAACACCAACCAGTTCCGAGGCATCGATAGAACCTTTGCTACATACTTGAACAACTACGCTGCCAGTGAGGATCGACGCCTTACCAACAGAAAGCTTCTGGATCGTTGCACAAACGAGTACATTCAGCGATCCCGCAATGCCCCCGAAAACTCGATCGATCCTTTCCGCATGGCTTGTTACAAGGTCATCGGGCGTATCGAGCTCGGTAACCGCAACCTGGACGGACTCAACACAGATATCAATGATTGGATTTGGCTTCAGTTCAACTTGGCGAGAGAGGGTGATAAGACAATTGAGATGGCTGGCGAGTCATATGGCTTGGCTGAGTTGCAATCCAGCATCCGAGAGATTGGTCTGAAGCACTTCCCCAAGGCCAACTCGGAAGATAGCAACGGCAGCTTTGGCATGTTCTTCTACCTACAAATCCTGTCGGGTATGTTCGAGGATGCCATCGCCTATCTCTACCCCTTCTCATATGTCGACGCTGTGCACTTTGGTCTGGCGCTCGAGTTTTACGGTCTGCTTCGACCAAGTGACGCTATGTCACCATCCAACGACCTCCGCAGCTACAGCACCAAGAACCTGCCCCAGATCAACTTTGGTCGCATGATTGGGTACTACACTCGTGACTTTAGAGCTGCGGATGTCGTGTCTGCTGTTGACTACCTGACACTTATCTGTCTCAACCAGGACCTCGAGGGCGAGGCTGGCCAACGACACGGAAGCCTGTGCCACGAGGCCCTTCGCGAGTTGGTACTTGAGACACGCGAATTCAGCAAGTTGATTGGTGATATCCGACCAGATGGACGACGAATTCGTGGTATCATCGAGGAGCGCGGCCCTCTTATTGGCCTTGACGCTGAGGACGACTTTGTCAACACGGTCACTCTTCAGGCCGCCAGCTTCGCGGATGAGAACGGTCGCACCACAGATTCTGTCTTGTTATATCATCTCGCCGGCGAATACGACACAGTCGTCGCTATTGTTAGCCGTGCGCTGAGTGAGGCCGTGTCTCTCGAGATTGGCGAGGACCCTATGCGTCTTATGCCTGTCAAGCCCCGAGCCGGCGGACAAGAGGCCGATACTGGCAGCAGTCTCAGCTTGGCAGCCATCGACGACCCTGTCGAGTTGGCCAAGACTATGATGAGCATGTATGAGCGAGACGCCATGTTCTACAGGAGAATTCAGGACCAGAACAAGGTGGCCTGCCGTGTGCTGCTGGAAATGAGCAGTATCAAGGGATTGGTGGAAGCCGGACAATGGGCACAGTGCCTCGACGTAAGTTGATTGTAAGCCCGAGATCCATAAGAATGATGCTAACGTGAAAACAGAGAATCCGAAGCCTGGAGATCCTGCCTCTGGACGCGGCAGGCGATGGCAGCACCATCCGAGCCTACGCCTCCAAGTTCTCCGGTCTCTCACAGCCCGTGTCTATCAATGTTCCCAACCTTTTGATGTGGACCATTATCTCCTGTGTTCGCCAACGCGAGCAGCTGACAAGCGGCCAGTTCAGCGGCAATGAGGGAACTCGTCGCATGATGGTGGAACAACTGAAGCAGATGACCCTGGATCTGACAACATACACCAGTCAGCTTCGGTACAGGTTCCCACCTCACCTGCACGAGGCTCTTGCCAGGGCATCGGCGGAATAAGAGTCAGGCGCACGGATATCATATATTGGGTTTATTGAATATAGGCAACGCTGTATGGCTAGTATGAAGAAACGCATAGGTTTTAGGATGTGAGGTCAATCACAAAAGGACGAGGCAAAGATTGGGGACATGTCGCGGTAGAGGCCAATAGTGAGTAAGAGCGGTTTTGGGGGAAGAAAGAGGATCATCTCCTTTTGTTTGCGGCTTTATAGTAATTGTAACATCACATTGGACTTGTGCTTCTTTCTTATCTGAAAGATGGTGAGCGACAGTGCTGGGCTCATAATACAGAAGACTTAGTTTCAATCTTTCTTTTATGGAACATTTCAATGCATTTAGTGAGCATAAATGATACTGGCGCATTAGTCGTTGATGATTCCTAAACTTGATGATGAACTTTGAAGTTACAGATCGGTATCACATGACCAAGTCTGTACACCCACCAAGCCACCTTCCTTCAGGTGGTCAGGGGTCCATGACTCGGTCACATTTTGCAGCAGCGGGCTTTATGAGTCAACGCTCCCCCCATTCGAACACCCCAACCTGTCTCTTTCCAGTCACAATTGTTCCCACAGACCCGGTAGTCTACAGTACATCCGCACGTACAGTAAGTAGATCACTTTTGTGCGACGCGACGACACGATCTTACTGTAGCTTATCTTCTTAGCCTGGGCGAGAGGTAGATCTGATCTGATCTAATCTGGTCTGGCTTCGCCTCGGCTGGTCTCTTTATCCTCTTCCCCTTATCCTTGTCTTTGCGTTGAGCAAGCAAATTGAAGAAGGAAAGAACCCCACAGTCAAATCATCACTTCATTGGCGAAGAAGGAGCGTGGGAAACCCTTCATACCCGTATTATTCCCCTTAACCTCTCTCTCTCTCTCTTTTCCCTTCGCTCGCTTTGTTTTGCTTCGCTTGTTCCTGACTCGCCAAGTCGTATCGATCAAAGTCTATCAGAGCAGGCCAGAGAAGGAACAGGCGTGTGATATTCTACCTACAGGTACTTGGGCAGGGTCCTTGTGTCGGAAAAGGAAAGAGAGTTTTGCTACTTTCCTCTTGTCGTTCCTACCTACTCCCCAACCAAAAGGTACCCTACCGTACCTTTCACTTTCCTTTTGGGTGAAGGTGGATACTCGCAACACTCATCCCCGTCTTTCTTTTTTCTCTACCCCCACACTCTCAGGCACGGCGCGGGAACCATCCGTCTCATTCACCCTTCCCGTCTTCCATATCCTTTCCTCAGAGAAGTAATCCACTCCACCCCGAGACGGGGGCTAGTTCTGCTCTGCTCCAATGGCCTCCGGTCAAGGTCCCGGCCCTGGCCCCGATACACCGGGGACTGTTGCAAGTCCTGCCGGTCAAGGCCTTGGTCTCGGCCCCGATGATGATGCGACTTCTCTCAAGCGCGACGCCGACGCGATCAATCCGTCGTCTCCAGCTGGCAATGATGAGAACGCCAAGAGAAGGAAAAAGTCTGGTCCTGGAAGTAGAGGAGTTGCCAATTTGACACCAGAGCAATTGGCTAAGAAGAGAGCGAATGGTGAGTGCAGTATTAGTTTGATGTTGCCTTTGGCTTCTCTGGTGGCATGTCATCCACCTATCAGGTTATCGACTCAGTTAAGCTGCTGACGCATAACGATTTCCATTCCCCTTGCCTTATCCCTGCGATTGGTTAGCTGTTGACCTCTTCCCGGCTATCTTCTTCTATCTTCAGACCTCCTGCTTGCTCTGGTCGTATCTGATAAGATAAATGCTACCAAAGACACCTTCACTAACACCTTTCAAGATCGTGAAGCTCAACGAGCCATTCGTGAGCGCACGAAGAACCAGATCGATACCCTTGAGCGTCGTATTCAGGAGCTCACTAATCAACAACCCTACCAAGAACTTCAGAGCGTTCTTCGGGCCAAGGAGGCGGTTGAGCAAGAAAATGCCGACATCAAGCGTCGCTTAGCTGGCATTGTTGCCATGCTTCAACCTATCATCGGCCAAGGTAAGTTGACTACTCCGTGGATATATATCCAGGACTAACAAAGATGTATAGCTGCTATCGAGCAGGCTTATGTATCACCGGCTCAAACATATGCACCTCCAGTGCAACACCCTGCCACTCTAAGCGTACACAACAACGCACATGCCGCTTCTACTCCTGGCAGTGCTGCGTCTCCTCCCAGCCATGACCCTCCCAGCCAAGCTCACTGGCATCTACTACAACAGCAACAGCAGCAAACGCAACATCACCCTCATCACCATCCTCCTCACTCATCCGCTGGCGGCGCAACCAACGCTGAATCACAGGCCGCGAGTCAGCTGACTCAACAGCGCCGTAGTCTCCAACACGGGCTCGACATGGGCCCTGAACGGCTTGGACTGGAGTTTCTACTTGAGCCCTCACAGCGGGTCAATCGCATCCAAAATGGCGTCAACGGCGCTCAAGACACGCCTCAGTTCCACCACATGCCAATGAAACACGATTGGACCGGTGTGAATCAGGAACGTGCCTTGCATAGTCGCTCAGCAAGTTGGGGCTCGCAAGGAAAGCCAAGCCAGCCTACACATACACAAGAACAACAACATCAAGGCCAGCATCAAGCTCAAATCCAGCACAGCTTGTCTGCCGCTCATACACCTGAGAGTAGCCATAGTCCTGGGTACAGCCCTGCTGTGAGCACCACTGGTCGTTCGGTTCATCCTCGCAGCGACCCCAGTACTATCGACCCCACAGCACCAATAAAGAACTGCCACCCAACATGTCCTCTCGACTCTTTGTTGCTTGACTTTTTGAGCGAGCGTCGCCAATGTGCTGCAGACGGTGTTCCGGCTCAGGACGTCGTTGGTCCTCGCTACCCTTCTGTATCGTCACTCCTCAATCCCGCCAACAGCGCATACAGCCACCCCCTATCCAAAGTCTTCACCGATATCCTCGCCACTTTTCCTGACATCTCGACTCTCCCTGAGCGCGTTGCGGTGCTTTACATGATGTTTCTCGTCATGCGCTGGCAGATCGAACCCACACAGGAGAATTATGACCGCCTCCCAGAATGGATGATGCCACTTCCCTGTCAGACCAGTATCCCACATGCTGCTTGGCTCGACCATGTTCCTTTCCCCAAAATGCGTGAACGCCTTATTCTTGATCACAACCCCTCGCTGTATCCATTCGATAACTTCTTTGTCCCCTTTACCACAACCCTCTCACTATCGTGGCCATACGAGGAGACCGATACGTTACTCCAGGATCCGGAGAGCGAAGAACTGATGATCAACCCTGTATTTGAACGCCATCTACGGAACTTAGACAACTGGAAGCTAGGTGATGCCTTTGCAAAGGCGTTTCCAAATCTGGCTGGAACATTCAGCCTCAAACAATCTGCTTCTCCGCGGCCATCTTCATCGAGCAGTCGGTGACGGGCCATCTAGAGGGTTACTTCACATTGAGAAAACAACTTTGTAAATTATCCACTTGCTTTTACGGCGTTTCTTGTACATGTTTAGTTCGGTTCATGAAGGTCACACCATCGGCTTTCCTTTGTTAGTGGGAAAAGAGAATCGCTGCATCGGTCTTATTGCAGCTATCAACAGTAGGGGGGTATACGACGTGCATTGGAAACTGTGGGGCTGTTTGTTTAAATAGTATTGGATGTACGTATGCTTGTATATATGCACACACCTGTCGGTAAACACGGCCTAATGCTTAAGTAGCGAGATGCTGTGTGGATTGATTGCAGTCCATCGTCTCACGCACTTGATTGAGAATACAACACAATTGTATTGGGACTGCTTCACTTGATCTACTTGCTTGTGTACTTATTTAAGAGAAAGTTGTGCTATCTATTATGGGAGTGTTTCGGTGGTCTATGGTAAGCCTGGCATTATGCTACGCAGTGGAAAGAAGTCACCATACAGTCGGGTTTCTATGTCTATCTATACTTACATCTCTTAGATTGGTAGGTCTCCCTGAAGTCTCTGTCATCGTAAACATCCTTGAAAGTTAGGAGAATATCGCCCGCCAGGCAACGGGTGCTTTGCTACCCACCCCTATCTGTTTTGCAATTATCAACTTATCGATTGTGCTGCTGTTAGGCTCTATTTGTTCCTGTAAGGCTGCCGTCCCGAAACGTAACGCAAAAACAATGGCTGTAGTGAGTGAGCTGGGCACACCAGAACAAGCCCTTTACGGTGAATGGAGCTTTTGCTAACATACCTTGGGAATGATTTGCGACAAAAAGCCAAGATATCAAACAGGGCTGTTTGGTTGGTGGCAAGCAGCCTTGATTAAGCTACTATGAAGGTACTCTAAGTTACAAATTCTGTCACTGCCATTACCATTGCTGATTCATAAGTCTCGTCCCAGGTATCTGTTTTCACACTCTTCATCTTTAAGATCGACTTTACAGCTCATTACCTTTTCTCCTTCCATGGTATTTGTCACTTGCCAGCTAAGCCCCTGTTTCTATCCATAGCACTGCGACTGTAGTTTTGCCACTTGTTGACATAGCTGCTTATCTAGGTAGGTAATATAAAGTCTTTTCTTATTAATCTCCGCTCTTATAAGTGGCTTGATATGCGTACTAGTCTCATAAATAGATATCGAAAGGAAAGGAAAGAAAAGAAAAGAAAAGGAAAGGGGAGATGAGGGGAGGGGAGGGAAGGAAGAGCTTGGTTTATCTCGGCTAGCTGCAGAAGGACGAGAACTGTTCATGGTAGTTGAAAGGAAGAGTTTAGTTTGTCTCGGATAGCTACAGAAGGACGAGAACTACTCATAGTAGTCCTCGGGTATTTACCTTGCAAGGTAGGCCTAAGATTGCCTATGGTTACACATAGCTGCTTTACAGGCTTCCTGCATATATGCCTAAGGCAGTCAGCAGATACAAACAAAGGGCATTAGGTACTAGGTACTAGTTATCTAATACCTTCCCCCTGACTTGATGCCCTACGAGTTATTCTGAACTGCTCTACATTTTGCACCCATCGATCCCACCGACTTTACATATAGCACTGCAACTACAGGATTCTTACCAGACACTTTATTACATATTCAAAATTACTTCTATCAGTGGCACTGGCACTGTCACTAACTGTCACTGGCACTTGTATGGCTATGATTTAAATACCTACCTAGGTTTTAAGGCAAATACACCTTTACTCCTTCCTCCTCTTACTGCTCTTCAAACAATACATATCGGACTCTAACAAAGAATTGAAGATGCAAAACGACACAGATCCAGACTGCGATTATGCAGGAGATCACTCGTACCCTTCCCCTAAGGGCAAAGAGCCCATGCGGCCCTATGGCTGGTACAGTGAAAGCAATGAGAATTGACAACGGATTGTCCCAGTTGTGGCCAAGAAGGATAATGACGATGATGAGGCCGGTGACGTCGATAGGGATGCGTTTTTGGAAGTAAATTCTGAAGACGACGGGGATATCCCGACGACAGGCGCCGGAAAGTTCAACCTCAACTTCATCTTCCAGAGGATGGGCGAGATCGACCTGGAAACAATCGATAAAATGAATCAACCTGATCATGACAAAGCGATCAGGGGCCTTGTTGATGGTAACCTATCGTCAATCGAAGAGAACTCTCTATTTCTGAGTGCCGAGAGGATCGAAGGCGGCCTTAAACATGTATCTAAAAACCACGACGTCGGTAAGTGCTTCTTAGGTCAATCATTCTGGCTAGGTTAGGAACGCTGACGGATCAATGCAGAACATGCCATTGCAAATGACCCGGAGATCCGACAATCCATCGAACGGTACAGAAAGCATGGAGCCGATATCCTGCGCAACTTGACCGAGTTGATGCTGGCCGCCGGTTCACGCAACAATGTTCCTGTTGAGACACAGGGGTGGCTTTTACTGCTGATGGCCAATGCAACAAAAGACTGCCGAGAACGTCTTATCACAGCTCTCACCAACCCCTCTATCAACCCGGCGTGCATACAATACGCAAGCGGCCAACGGTCTTGGGGGCCGGACATGTTTGACTCCGCCCCCAAGATCAACCTCGCAAACCCCAGCGCCTGCGGCGACGCAGTGACAGCCTATATGATTATAGGCCTTCTGTCAGGGAGACGCTTCGCATATTCCGGTAGCGCCACGAACACAAGCATAGCGCAGAAGGACATTGGTGAAACATCGCGAATGAAAGTACATTCGAGAATCTTGGGGTTGGGCCATGAAGAGGTCCTCCGCCGACGACGTGTTGGCGACAAGAGGGTATTCAAGGTCCACGAGCTCTTATCGAAGATGGAAGACCACGACTATTCATTTTTTCCAACTGTGAGGATTCCTGTGGACATAGAGGACCCTGACCACCTGGTCTCGGCAACGTTGGTGCTCCTCGCAGAGATTATCAACATGGTGCTTTTTGACACATGTTCCTCTGATCCTGTTCCCCGTAGAGGACGCGCTATGGTATTCATAGACCAGACAAACAGGCTCATGAAGCGATTGCGTCCGAAGGACTGCCCCGTGGCTCCGTGGGAGGGAATGAATCGCGTCATCCCAGTCCTTCAGATGCCCAAGGCAGTCTGGGGGCTGCTGCGACAGGGACAGCAACAGTCCTCGATGCCAGAGTTAATGAGTCGCTTACACGAGCACTTCAAGGAAACACGAAGTCTGACACTTGACCGATCTCTAGGCGCAGAGATGTTGAAAAGTGTCGACCGACCGTCAGATGACAAGAATGTGCGCATCGTGCGAAGGCTGTATGCCACCATCCTCAATGAGAATGGGTTGGCATACAGGAGCCCGTATCAGGAATTCTTGTACATGCGCTGTGTTCTTTGGCATTCGATCATCGTGGTCGCCGAGAATGGACTCGTCAGTTTCCAAGATGGAAAATATCACTTGGAAACTAACGCTTTGGATTGGGTTGAAGTGTCTAGAGTTGCCCGGAGCATCGCTCCTGATGCTTTGGGCGAAAGCTTCTCATGGACTAAGTGTCGTGAATTATACCGCGACCGTGAAAGCGCCTACTTTAATCAACAAGTGGTATTCCCGATGGTATGGGAAAAACTCCGAGGTAAGTTATATCAAGAATTGATATCTTTGGAACCCTCTAGCGAAGTTATTATACTAACTTATTATTCTAGATGGAGTTCCTACCAAGTATGCCTATGCAAAAGCAAGGCATCATCTACCATCGCCTATCCGCACCAGGACTCAAGACATTTGCAGGTACATGCTAATGCAACAGGGCAATTCCATTGACCGCAGTGGGGAAGTTGTGAAAACGGATGAAAAGCACGTAAGCTCACTCGAAACCCTCCGGAAACGCGTACTGGAACAACTTAAGGAAGACCTCAGTCTTTCCAAGGGCGTGGAGGTTCGCGAAGGAACATGGGAGGACATCGCGTTCTTGGATTATATCTCAAAACAAATCAGACTTGCCCACAGAGACCTTCAAAAGGGAATCTCTCCAGAAGAAGCCAAGGACTGGGGAAACCTAAAGGCGCTTCAGCCATCGTGGGTACTCACAAGTGCGCAAGACCCTGATGTTGAGTATCTTCCTGAGTCCGTCATTGCTGAGGCAGTAGACCCCATGCTGCTACCGGCCCTCTCAGATACACCAAAACACATCATTGAGCGTATGACGTTTCTTCAGCGCAAGCAAGCTGAATTCAAGCCATTCTCTAACGTCGAAAATCGCCTAGGGCCAAAATCAGGGCCCGGGCCGGAAGGCACAACTGAACCCTTTGATCTCGGGGACGGCCGTGGAATCACACTTAGAACCAGGACATTCTCGGCAGAGTCTGAGTCTGAGTCTGAGGAGGAGACCTCGGGAGTTGAGCAGACGGCATCGAATTCGGGTATTTGCGATTGTTGTGGTGTTTACCACAATGATCTACTGAAACACACATCCCGATGTTATGGCAGATGTCTCGAGTGCGATCAGGACTCAGAGGCTTGTATTCGAGGGGCTGAGGATCCTCTCCAATGCCTCCCTTGCTCAACCAAGGGAAGGAAGTGTTCGGGTCTCTCTGAAGAAAGCGACGTCGACCCAGACCAAACCACAGTCGAGTGCCCGAGATGCTGGATGACCTTCGTGTTGTCCAAAATGGTCGAACATGTGCTAGCTTGTCAAGGCCGATGCAACAGTTGTGTTGAAAAAGGTCTGACCTGCATCCGCCTTACCTCTAATGACCGAAAATGCCAAAATTGCGACAATGCAGAACAGTGCATGTCGTTCTCGCACGACCACCTGGTTCTTGCCGCTGCACCAGGAACTTGCGAAAAGTGTCTGGGGCCTACAACATCCCCAACCCATAAGTATGGTTGTCCGGGCCAGTGCAAGTCCTGTCACGAAGCCCGAGTTCCCTGCATACGTTCTGAAAGATGGCCTGGAAAATGCGATCGTTGCAAGGAACAAGAGCTGCCATGCGGCGGCTACACGCACGAGGGAGATGTACGAAAGAGAGGCAAAGTCGCTTGCCCCCGCTGCTTGCGCGATGACATGTGGGCAAACCATCCAAAAAAATGCAAAGGTCGATGTAAAGGCTGTGTCCGTGCCGGTATACCCTGTGTTCGAGGACGAGGGTATGGCGACAGGTGCACATCCTGTGCAACCGTCGAAGAGTGTGGGGATTACGACTACGATGACGATGTCTCAAAGAGCAATTGCCAACGTTGTGGGGTAGAATACGCAACTCACATGCTCAAAAAACACGAAGACGCATGCAGGGGCAAATGCTCCCGCTGTAAGGAGGTGGGAGCAGCCTGCGAGCGGCAGGGTCGACAGAATTTCGGGCCGTGCAAACGGTGCGCCAATGACGGCGTTGGCGACAGTTGTAGTGCTTGGTGGAAGAAGTGAAGCTATGATTTCGGTTGGTCTCAAGAGGGACGTATGGAGGAAGCTTGTGAGGAATTTGTTTTCGATAGGTCAGAAGTCTTGCTATTGAATTTGTTTTAATCATACTGTCTACTGAAACCTGAGAATTCTACCTCGTCTAGAACTATGTCCCTAGTAATACTCAGGATGTTCTCGACATTTTGCAAGTATAATGCTCCTCGGCCAATATCTGTTCCCTCTCGGAATACTCATAATGTATTAGTCAGTCACTGAAGGAAGGGTACACAGACCTACGCAGAACAACAATTATGTGCCATTGCCATTCTCTAATCTAAGAAATTCCCCGTCTACGATTAAGAAGTGCTACATGTATAACCCTGGACTCATGATATAATTAGTGTAAAAGAATCTGTGAAAGTCTATGATGCTTAAGAAACGAGGCTGGCCATCATATTTTGCTAGCTTTTGTCAGTTGTTTATCACCAGGTGACACTCACTCAGCTGCTTGATAATCCATGCCCTAGACCTTTTTGGCAGCTATGGAGCTCTTGCTACTAACTCTTACTCAGGTCTTTAAGAAGGAGCTCAACTATCATAGTAAATATGAACCGAAGCCTTGGTCAACAAGCGTCAGGGTGTCAGAAGAATCGGCTGCCGAGAGCATAAGAGACGAAATAACTTGGTCATCTTAGGCCAGCTTAGTTTAACTTTTAGGCTACTTTATTCTTATAGCCTAAGCCTTGGAGTACAGTTCTTTTGTCACTCAGAGAAAGCGAAGAAAGTTCAACAAGAACTCACTTCGATTGATTTGCTCTGCTCCTCGCTGAGGGAAACTGTTCGACGGCAAACAATCCAATGCCCGAGGAATGGCTTATTCCAGCAAATAACATATAAGTTGTATGCCTAGTCAATCTTGGCAAACAAAACCGACAAATCGTGCGCGTGACCAACTCCGTCAAGCCTCATCCTCCCATCTCTTTACTCCAAGCGAGAGCTTCCTTAGGGAAGGTCCTTCGCCAACAAACAAACTCGGCAACCTCTCCCTTGGCATTCCCTGGAACATCAGTGCTTTAATAGGTGCACTTGCATGGACGGATTCCACCGTTGAACACCGCAAGCGCCGCCCTGACCTTAACGAGAAAAGCCTCACAGTCCCATTATCTTGTGCCGCAGCTACAACATTCAACGCAGGGGCTACGTCCCACCCAACATGGATATGAGCCTCGTTGTGATGTTCAGGGAAATGCAAAAGGGGTTTGGTTCCACGGGGATTTCTTGAGAGGAATCGTGTATCGTAGAGAGCCATTGAGCTCTGTAGTCCTGACACAAGAACTTGATGTGGATTGACACTCTTTATATGTGTGATGGAGCTCGCATGCTTGGAAAACGACCACTGAGGCTCTGGGGCACGAAGGTCTGTGATCCAAAGCCTGGGTTGTCTGCCACCAGCTAGCAAGATATTGTGATTTCCCTCTTGGAAGTCCTGCGCGAATATTTCTTGCGGAAGCTTCATGCCCTTTGGGGCAACTTTTGGTGCAATGGCTGAGAGCGTCTCGTTCGAGTGTACTTGCACCAATCCGTTATTGGACCCAAGTACACAGACAAGGTCTGAGGAGGGGGGAGCTGGTGCGCTGCTGTGGACCATCCACTCATCGTGTAAGCCATGACGGACTGATAGTCGTTCGTAATTATTTCCTATTTCATGTCAGTAAAGCTCATCGCATCGGGCAGAGTCGCAACACACTCTCGCCAATAAGCCAATGCGGGCGAGTCTCGTCCTCAGGGTCTGACAACAGTGGTGAAAATAGATATAGACCACAACTATGCTCTGGCTCCCGAGAGGTCAACAGCATTTTGTGTGAGGAGCGGTGGTACTTGATCGACGACATCTGAGGGCATCGTACCATCTCCGTCCGGAAAGCCAAGGCCCGGCCAGAAGAGCTGGGTGCTTCCCTCGAGAAGTGAATCCTGGAGGCATCGGGTTAGCAAGCAATGCGGTCCAGGGGGTCCGGGACTTACGAGTCATTCTTATTTGTAGGAATATAGCTTCCTACAAGAGCTTCCTCGTCCAAAGCTGCACGTCAAGTTAGCAACTTCATTCGGCCCACATGTTGGATCCGGTCCCAAGACCTACTAGCATAGGCAACTCCCAAGCCCGTTTTGTCATCTTCACCAGACACGTGAAAACAAGGCATATTCGGATACCGCTGCCTTGCAAAGCTCGGTGCAAAAGGGACATCACCCTTGGCTACCAAGCCGTCTGCCCACGCCGCAGCACCAAGATCCCTATCTTCCAATCTGCCGCGACCACGCTCTGCAGCATATGGTAGACCAATTTCTCGAGTGAGAAGAGCAGAGCAAACTGCATCTTTAGCAAGAAAGTGACGTTTGATGTGATTCCGTGTCAGGTATGCTCGGCGCCGGGCAGATTTCTGAACTTTATCCTCAACCTTGCGCCTTTTGACAGCATCTGAAGACCATGCCACTGATGAGGGCGCTGTCTGTGTTTTTTCGATTTTGAAGTACTTCTTTTTCTCTTGATCTATTCCAGAATTAGTGGGTTAATTTTCCGGCTTCCTGAATAGTCGATGGACTTTAACACACCGAAATAATAGCCTGGAATTTCACGATTCATGATGGTTGTGATAGAAGCATAATTTTCCCCTGCACATGATCGTCACCAGATGATGTCAATCAATGACCAAACTTAAGAAAGGGAACGTGGGCTCGAAAAAGAACCATACAACGCCAAGAGGGAGATAACTCGAATTGCAGGATGGTATCACTCGAGAATGAATAGAATTGACTGACATACGTTCAAAAGGTGGTTGGATAGAGAGCCAGTTTTCTGTGTCACGTGATGAAGAGCAATGCTGTCTGTCATTGAAAGTTCAAATTAAGAGTTTTCACGGGTTGAGAGGTCACTGAGGATGGGTACAAATTATTTATTTTACTTGTATTATTAAGTGTCTAATAGACGTTCTAGGGGTATGATAGTTTTCTCAACCGCTCCAGGAGTCTCACTACTCGTGTGCGAGTATTACAGGTCAAATTTGGACATAGCGAAAGTGAAAAGTCCGGTCGATGGTGGTCCGGGTATATACCATCTGTATTTACTGGGACTTCTCGTGCTGGGTCGAAACACGCTGAAGAGAGACAACGAAGTCCTCGAGGGATCGCTGCTTCTGGTTCTGCTTGGGAGACTTGCCGTGCATGAGGTTGTCGAATCCAGTGCTGCCCTGCATGAAGTAGTAAAGACCACCCATGACACAGAAGACACCGAAGGAGAAAATCCAGATACGGACAACGGCAACAATGCTGGTCTGGCCACCAACGAACCAACCGAAGATACAGAAGAGGGTGGCAAGGATATCGACGACCAGGATGGCGCCGGAAAGCTGCCAAGAGGGAATGGAGGACCAGAAAGGACCGTTGGCACGGGTGATGAAGATCAGCCAGTTCTCAGTAAGAGAGATCTCGAGGAAGAGAACCTCGTCGATCTTACCGAAGTTCTGGACGATACCGCCATCCTCAGAGTTGGCGTACATGGTGGTAAGAGCGATCCAGGTACCGACAGCCAGGACAACACCGAGGAGAACGGACATACCCCAGAGCTTGGGGAGGTTCCACTTGACGGGAGTCTGCGAGAAAGGAGCGTTGTCGTAGGCGATAGCAAGGGTAGCGATATCGGCGAAAATGGCAATGAAGACGACAAGCTCAATGTTGAGAGATCGGTTAAGGATGGCGATCCAGAGACCAAGGAAGATCTCCATGTGCAGGGAAAGAGCGATACGGTAGACGACGTAGGCGTACATACTGTGAATTCGTTAGTCAAGACGAGGAAGTCGAAGAACAAGGGAATACTGACCGGTGGAAGATCTGACGGGATGTTTTGAGAGCGTCAATAATTGCTCCCAGTCCAGGGGCGAGGAAGACGATATCAGAGGCAGATCGGGCAGCATCGGAAGCACCCTCAACGGCAATACCAGTATCGGCCTTCTTCAGAGAAGGAGCATCGTTGACACCATCACCAGTCATGGCAACCAGGTAACCACGCTGCTGGAGAATCTCGACGACGTTGTACTTGTGCTGGGGGAAGACCTCAGCGAAACCATCGGCAGCCTCAACGAAATCGTAAACCTCAGAACCAGGCATGTCACCACCGCCACCGAGACCAAGGCGCTCAGCGTTGTAGACGTTGGTACCGAGACCGAGCTGACGAGAAGTCTCACGAGCAATACCGACAGCGTCACCAGTAAGCATCTTAATGGAAAGACCAAGGCGCTTGGCCTCGTTGATAGTGCGGGCAGTGTCGTGACGAGGAGGGTCAGAGCAAGGCATGATACCGAGAATTTCCCAAGCACCCTCACCTCGCTTGCGAGCAACACCGAGAGATCGGAAGCCACGAGTGGCGAACTCAGCGACACAGTTCTTGTATGCGGTATCGACCTCCTCGGGGATGGGGTGGTCCTCCTCGACAGTCTTGAGAACGAAAAGTGGGGCACCCTTGACACAGATAATACGCTCGCCCTGAGGAGACTCGACAACAGCCTGAACCTTCTTGGAGACGGGGTCGAAGGGGTGGAAGTCGAGGACCTTGTACTTGGACAGAACACCCTTGGCGCGGGGGTAGTACTTGAGAGCCTTGAGGAAAGCCTTGTCGATAGCATCAATACCCTTCTTCTTGCGGGAAGCAGCCAAGCAAGCAGTAAGCATCAGGTCATCAGGCTCAACACCGGCGACACAGAAAGGCTCAGCGAGAGAGAGCTTGTTCTTGGTCAAAGTACCAGTCTTGTCAGAGCAGAGAATCTCGACACCGGCAAGGGACTCAATGGCGGAAAGCTTCTGGACGATGGCCTGCTTCTTGGCGAGGTAGGCAGCACCGACAGCCATGGTGGTGGTAACGACAGCGGGAAGACCGACGGGGACACCAACGATGGTAATGGCAAGAGTGAAACGGAGGATGTCAACAATGCCATTGGATCTGTAGAAGCTGGAAACCCAGACCAGGAGGAGAGTGGCAACGACTGTTGAAATGTTAGCAAACTGTACGAGGTAACGGGACGTTTTCTGAGCGAAAACTCGTGGTTAAACCGACCAAGAACAAGAAGAATCGTTCCGATGCCGTTGAGGACCTCAGTGAAGTGACCAGAGCCACCAGCGGACTGGGAGACGAGGGCAGCGGCACGACCGACGAAGGTGTTGTCACCAGTAGCAGTAACGATAACGAAAGCCTCACCACGCTTGACAGCGGAAGAAGCGTAGCAGTTATCACCATGGTGCTTGTCGACAGCGAGAGACTCGCCAGTGATGGCAGACTGATCAACCTGACAGAAGCAGCCCTCGGTAACGAAACGACCATCGGCGGGGATGATGGTACCCTCTTCAACCTGGAGGATATCACCGGGAACGACCTCAGGGGCTTCAATCTCCTTGAGGGTACCGTCACGGAGGACGACGGCCTTGAGAGCAAGAGTCTTCTTTAGCTCATCGACGATGGAGCCGGCTCTGTATCATATGTTAGCCATGTACAGGTAGGGGAGTTGCGAGGTAGAACGAACTGATACTCCTGGATGAATCCAACACAGGCGTTAAGAAGGAGAAGAGCGCAGATGACACCGAAATCGATCCAATCCTCCAGACCAGCAGCAAGAACGGCGGCGGCTTCCTATATATGGTGTTAGTGAGATGTCACGATGGTTTTGAGAAGACACGAGGGTGTTGAGAGATAAGATGAAAAAGTGGGGAATGAGAGGATAAAAGCGGGACTGGAGCCATGGCCCGTGCAGACAAATCATGTAAGTTGCAATGGCTTCGCCATTCTCCCAAGACGACCCCAGAATCATCTTCTTGAGTGTAGAAAATCGAGGGGAAATGGCAGAGCTTCGAAACATAGATGAAAAGAAGCGCAAGGAAAGGTAGTATTTGAAAATCGAGGGGGGGTTGCAAAAATGCGAGACATGGATGAGAAAAAGTGAAGGGGAAAAAAAGAATAAAACGCACCATAACGAACTGGATAGGGCCAACGAAAAACATCAGAAACTTGAGAATCATGTTCTCACGCTCTTCTTTCATCGCATTGAGGCCCCACTTCTTTCGGCGGGCGATAACCTCAGCCTCAGTCAAGCCAACACGAGAGTCGGTTTGAAGCTGGTCCTCGGGGACGACACGGCCACCACCGGGGGTGGTCTCCTCTTCGTCGTCGATCTCATGGCCGTCCTCGGACTCGAGGTCCTCAATCAGGGCGTCCATATCCTCATCGGGCTCTTCGTCTTCGGCGACGGGAGCCTTGGGGTTGTGGGTAGCGGGAGGAGCTTGTCCTCGCTTCTCATCGAAGCCGCCAGTCTCGATGTTGGTGTCCAGCGCAGGAGCGCCGGCCGCCTTCTCTTCGGCCATTGTAGGTGACGAGAAAAGAGATGTCGATTCTTAGGTATTAAAGGACGCGGCTGTAGGTAGGCAGGCAGCAGGTATTTGGGAGAATAAAAGCTGAAGTTGGTGCTGCTGTTTTCTGTTGGTGAGAGAAACAGAGGAACAAGGTTTGTTGGAGGGGGAGGGGAAAAAAGGAAGAACGTGTCTAAGCACCGCACGAAGTTAGGGACGCTTATGTATGAAGCATTCGTGGGTGAAGAGGAAAGGAAAAAAGAGAAGGTTGAGGCCGGGAGAGAGCTTCTTTTTGAATCCAGAGAAAGATGCGTGAGCTTTGGTTCTTTCCCGGCGAGCTTGCCGGCCCACAATCGCACAAACCCCTGCCAACAGACTTCGGCCCTGATCAAATGATGGAGACCCGGTCTTGATGTGGGCCCCACTCTCAATGCCTGCATATTTCTCCAAGACTGATTGTCTCTCACTCTGATGCACATGGGCTTCCTACTCGCTGCGCTCTGCATTTTGTGGCCCCCCCTTCGCAAAAGACAGAACAGAAAGGACCGGGGTCTATCAAACGGGTTCCACGGCGACGCAGGGATCCACCAGGCAAAGAATTGGATGGGTCTTTCCAAGCCGGGACGGGTGGATTAGGATGGGGCCCATCAGTCACTTCCCACGAGTCTCGCTCAGGTTCCTGGCATGGTCCCTCGCGAATCCCAATATGCCCCAGGTTATGAGCTCCATGCCATCTCCAGGTACGACCGGAAGGCCCTCGAGATACAAGCTAGCAACAAACAAACACTCTTTCCTCCACTGTACGAATTGTGCCAGCCTCTCACGGCCCTTCCGACCCTACCCCCAGTCCAGTCCACACCAGTCCAGTCCAGTCCAGTCCAGTCTTTCCGTGTAGAGAAAGTCTCCAGCTTTACAGTACAGTACCTCGTAGACACTGCAATTAAATGATTTGCTCCTGTTATCGTTATGCACTTGCAGTGCCACTCTCCTTTCTCATTATGCGCTCAATTCGCCCTCCTTTCTTCCTGTTTCTCCGTGGCCAATTAGTCTACTAATGCCCGCGCGACACGACTCGTTACAGGAAAGAGCAGCTACAGTACCTTACGTAGATAGATGGAAGGAAGGAAAAATTCATCACACCCTCCTACGGTCTAGCTACACCACCACCTACCCTAGCCTTCTCACATTATTGGCCTGGGAAAGCAAAGTGCGACGTGATTGTGTTGTAAATCAGCTGTACTGTAGACGTACTGG